GGACGCATACAGAGCTGGGCATAGGCAATGCCAATTGCACGCATCCGCAAATTTGCCACCAACTGGCACGCTTATGTTATAGAGTTACTGTGACTTTATCTAAGTGGCTCCTGTCTTTCTCTCCAAGGATGAAGGTGTCTCCACACCGGCGACTTTCCGAATCAAACTTGATGTGAAATCACATAATTGGCGTAACATGCCTGCAGGAGTCTGATCACTAGAAGAGACAAGAGAAATTGGTTTAAGTGATATTATCGAAGAATAATGTCATTCTCACTTAGCCACGCGTTTCGATTTGTAAATGGAGATGTTGTTGGAAAGGGAATTCTGAGCTGGAGATTTGCGGAAGACAGTCGTGGCTATTTACTAGCGTGAGTTGACCATTAGTCGTGCTACTCATGCTGCTATTGACTGCAACAAGAAAAAAGAAGATACAGTCGCACGAATAGGCGACTAACGTACTTGCGTAGCTCGTTACCGAGCGCGCGAAGTTGTTAGCACGAGCGATTGTACGCGGCAACCTTTGGTGATCCGTGATTAATGGGAATACTGCGATTATAAATCCCATCTATAGGTAAAAGACCGCGTATACGACAGATTGAGTTGCAACGCGAGTTACCTCATTACATTCCTCGAATCCGAGGCCCTCTTCTCATTCCTACGTATTTTATTTCTGTTGCTTGTTGCGAGTACTGATGCTAACCCATCATCAAACAGTCAAACAATTTTTTAATCATCAAGCGTAATTTCGAAAGTCGGTTTGAAATTTACTTCTTGTATTAATCTTAAAGCTTTCGCATCCGCTATTTTGAACAATTAACTATTTTCGGTTAATCTTAACAAAAATACGTTTTTAAATATTTATATATATAAATAACACATTTTAAATAACATATTTTTAATTTAGACTTTAGGCAGCTACCATTTTATAATAAAATTATGACTGTTGCAAATTGAATTGGTTTTTAATTAGCACATAAATCTTCTAAGAAAATGCTGCGTAAATTTTCTTTTATTTATAAATTTGACGTATGACGTAACATATTGATGACGATAGAATGGCATGTGACAATTTGGCCTTAACCATTGACATTCCATAATATCCTATCGCGAAAAGAGCCACTGGCTAGTCATAATTGAGCGATACTCTCGACAGCTCTATTGAAGTAACCAGTCTCTTAAATACATCCTTGAGGACGCACTTCTACCCGTGAGATTAGACCAGCGTTAACACTAAGTATGACAGACAAATAATATATGTTTAGACAGTCAACGACTGCCTGTATACAATACTGAATAAAGTTGAATACATTTTCCAAACAGTATAGGAATAGTTAGATAAACGCATCTTAGGCTTCTTCATGTTGACGTTGAGATTCTGTTTCATCACATATAGCTCATTTCTCTTTATTTAAAAAAAGAAAAAATATATATATAGAATCATGTGGAATAAAAGGCAACATTTTCTTAATGACTTGAATGATCTTCAACCTGCATTATGATCCTAATTGCTAATCCGTAATGGGTACATGTATGTTGGCGACAACGATCGCGCCAAATCATTTTAGTTTGACTCTATTCGTTGTTCGATTTTTTTTTTCATTTTGTTCATCCATGCCACACCTCTTGAGAGTGTTTTTCTAGGTCAGAAAATATAAGGCTATGACTGACTCATTGTGGTACGTGTGACCGATGAGGGGACTCCACACAGCCACCTGTATTGCCCGAGAGATTTCAATCGAGGTCATTTTAAGGCGGCGCTTAGTGAATTCTTTGTGTTTTATGATTTGTATCATCCATGTTTGTTGAAAACGCACTGATAATATTGTACAGCAAAGATAGAGAAAAATTTCTGAGAATCGCCTATAGTCATTCGTGTAGCGCACTAGAAAAAAATGGGTCTTTTTCTTCAATAAATAGATAATTCTTATATAATGATGCACGATGCGTTAAATAATTATAAGTAACTGGCATAGAAAAATCTAAATAAGATATCTATATAATAAGAAAATTAACATATTAGATTTGCTATACTTACATTATTGCCTTATCTCTACATCTCTACTGTGATTGGCCAATTCGCTTATTACTTACATCCTATTATCTTACGTTTTTTTACGTGCTGTAGCCTATATTATATTTAATTGCACTAAGAAAATTGAATAAAGGGAATGTCAACATAATAATAATTATTCCTATATCAATTTTCTTATGCTTCTTCCGCTTTTATGCTTAATTTTTTTATTACTTTTATATATTTTTACATTTGTCTCTCTCTCTCTCTCTCTCTCTCTCCCCCTCTCTCTCCCCCTCTCTCTCTCGAATTACTTCAGTTACATAATTAGTAAAGAATTAAAATAATTTTACTTGTGGACTTGCGAGTTTCTCAAGCACGGAAACCAAAGTCCTGACACTAGTCGTTTCGTTACCGTTTTGTATCGCGTATTCATTAACATTTTTCATTGTCAAAATGCAACGCCTATTTCCTGCCTATTACTGCTTACACAACGTGAATCAGTCTTTATCTTCTTCGAGGACGCTTCTCGATGGCTTAACTGCCGGAGTTATCGGGCCATTACAATAAGGTCGTTATTGCAGGGTAAAAGATCCGTAATATCATGCGACCATGAAAGTCCTGATTGCAGGATAATAGATCTTTCGTATCGGTGCATTTACGAGAAAAATCGCATAATGCTTCTGGAGGTTATCTAAATGCTTTTCTAAAAAGTTAGCTCTACAGATAATTCAAAACCCGATTCATTTCCGGAACTGTTATCATAAATTCTTGAAGCAAACCGGCTTCCTAGTAACAAGCGTCTTCTCAAATTAGAGGAAAAGATACCAAACATTAAATTTTCCATTTAAGAGAAATTTAACCTTTGATAAAATACATCAATTCTAGCACTACTTATCGCAATTTTAAGAATCAACTTTATATCACGCGAAATATAATTAATATTTATTAATATTTATTAAAGTAAGTAATTGCTACAATATAAGCCAAATGTTAAAATTGCAAGAGAATTTTTCGTTAAAACTCAGTTTTTGTCAAAACTTACCGGACACCCTGTATATTTCACTATTAAATTCATTAATATAATAAGTGATGGCTCTTCCTGCAATCTTAGAGTTTACTCTCTTCCGAGATTTTATTATTACTTCTAAATACGAGATAACAAGTAGTTGGCAATGAAGAAGCAATTAAGTTCTCATAACCTCCGTGTGTGAATTGATTGATTAAATTCAAGATAGTATAAAAGCACGCTTCTTTCTTCAAGGTTTTAGGTCATACACAAAAAATTAAGATTAAGTTTATTCATTTTTTCCAATGTTTCGATAATTAGTTTTTTATATAATACTGTATAAATTCATGAATAAATGTTTAATAAACAGATACATATATGTGTGAAATTTGCCTGATGGAAGTTCTATTACACATCAGAATAAATTTAGTTTTGAATATCAACGATATAATATGGAATTATAATTTAATACGACAGGTAAATATATATTGTGATTAAATGTTGATCACGATAACAATGTATTAATAATTAGATTCTCTCTGAAAAGATCTATATAAAATTACATATTTCATAAATCGTATTATTACAAACCGAGATTAATTAAATTCCTTTAAATGTGTACGTCTTGCTTCTGCTTGTCTTCGGTATAAGATACTACGCGATATCCGGTTACAAAGTTACGCAGTGATTATATAACTGTACTTATCCTGTAACTTGCAGAAATCTCAATCAATGTTATATTAAATTATAAAGATGTTATTATAGATATTGATATTATGAGATATTTTCTCCAAAATTTATGCTCCTCATATCCATGAAAGTCGAGACAAAATTCCGTAATATTAAAAAAAGATTAATAGGAGACGCATTATTAAATGATGTCTTATCGATAAAAACTACTTGAACAAATTCCTCGTTTTATATTTCGATTACCTGTATATTAATTAATGCTGATTTAAATCTACCATTTTCTTTCATGAAAAAATGTAGAAGACACAGAGGATAAATTAATATTAGTTAAAGTTCATGGAACTTCTCTCACCCATCTCACTGTCAGGTGAAATTACCCGGAAGAAAACTACTCTGTCTCTCCTCAGTTTGTAGCACCGGCTATCAGCTACAGTTAAGCATCTATTACGATTCTAGGTAACGCTATATAAATAAATGGTAAAAGTTTTCCTTAGATATTAAATATTTTTAGTACAATAATTTCAAATTTAAAATTAATTGAATAAATTTAATTTCATTAATCGTTAAAAAATATTTGTTAAAGCAAATATTTGCAATAGAATGATCGCAAGTTTAATCTCGACGGAATAGATTCAATTAAATCAATTGTTATAAGTAAATACTCGTTTAAGCAGATATTTACAATAGAATAATTTCAATTTTATATATAAAAAATTAATGGAATAAATTTAATTAAATGCATGGTTAAACAAATATTTGTTTAAACAGATATTTTTGATCGAATAATTTCAAATTGATAGAATAAATTTATAATTAAATTGAATAAATAATTAATTCAAAATTATTCATTACTTATAACACACAAACATACAAATACACACAGGTAAAATACATACATCTGTTGTAACTGATAGATAAGAATTCAATGAACTTCTGTTGGACATCCGCAAAACGGTAGACGTCGCTGAAAATACCAGTCCTCATGAGTTCATTGAGTACGGATACTCAAAACACCTGGCACCACTACACACTCGCGCACGCAATACGCGTACACTCACACTTCCCTTGATTGAGTCGCGAGAGACACAAGCATCGGGTGTCTTGGCGATTCCGTCACGCCGATTCCGCCGGTTCACCAAGAGGAGAGCGACCGGCGTGGTTCGGCGCGGGACGAAGCGGAGCGGTGTAGCTGCTCCTACCACTCCGCTTGAGCGCTACCAGGCGTGCACCAGGAGCCACGATGGTGGGGTCGTTGTCGCGTAGCCGGCATCAGGAGAGAAGCGAAGTGCGGAGTGTGAGTCGGTAGGCTTGGCCCTCGCGAGCGAGAGAGCGGAGTCGCGGCCTGTCAGAGTCCACAGTCCTAACTCGGCCTCAGGCTGCGATAGATCGTATCTTTCGCGCTACCGATCTCTTGTAGTCATTCAATCCTCGCGATCAAGCGAATCGCGCGCGATAGCAGTCGCGGATAACGATCAAGCGTGCGCGCGCGCGCGGCGCAACCCTTTTCTTCTTCGCCGGCCGAATCAGCTACACCCCCTCCCCCTCCCCTCTAATCGATCGCGAGTTATCGAACGACCTTCGATTAATATAGCGCAAAAAATCCTCCGCGAGTGACTTAACTACCCCTCGCCAGCCTCTTATCGTGGAAATCGTTTCTTCTTCTTTTTTCACCGATCGAAGCGAAGAAGCGAACGTGAGGGCGAATTATCGCCATTGCGTTCGTAAAAGAACGGGATATCGGGATACTGTTACGAGAGGTAAGATCTTTTTTTTCTTGAGAGGGAGAGAAAGAGAGAGAGAGAGAGAGAGAGAGAAAGCACGTGTAGGAGTCTGTAGGTGGGAGTATTGGTATAGAGAATGTGCAGATTACAGTTTTATGTCCAGGATGAATTTATTTTCTTTTTCACAATTCTATGTGGATTGCAAGTGTGTAGATGCGCGTGTATGCGTGTGTTGTGTGTGCGTGCGTGAACCCCTTATGTGCGAACGAGTGAATGAATTACTTTTGTGACGTAAGATCGTACGTGACATATGTCATGGGAATTTGGGTGTCGTAGGAATCGGCATATGTGCCGTTATTGCGAACTTATCATTATATCGCACACGCGCATTTTGTGAAGCACCTACTGAGCCTCAGGAAGCTATGGTTCGAGTTCGACAAAAGTGGAGCGTACCTTTCTTTCATTGAATTTTAAACTTACAATCCTGGAGATATTAACATCAACTTTGAAATATTTTAGTAAAATAAAATCTTCAAGAAATAATCTTTAATAAAATAATCTTCAGGATACATAAATAACAGCAAATTGTTTCTCTACTAATTCTTAAAATGGGGTTTAAGATAACGCCTTCTTTTAAGGTTTATTTTAGTTTAAATTGAATATTCAAACATCGCGAAAAAGATAAATTTTGCTAATAGAAATTATCTGCAATAAATTAATAATTTAAGTATAATAGAAGGAAATAATACTAAAATTTAATACAAGCTCTATGAAATTTGCATGTATTATATACTTAATGCAATATACCGGTTTTATAATTTAAAATATTCTATAGTAAATATTCTGTACTATGAATTATAACATATATATACTTAGTTACTTGAATGCAATTTAAATATTAAATGATTTCTGAAGTAGCGTTACATAATCGTTTTATTTGTGTCCGTTCAACTTATGAAATATCTTCGCGCTTCCGATGCAGTAAGATAGAGCCTTATTTTACACGTTCTGCTTTCCGTGAACCTATATTTCCGGTCTTAGTGGTTGAAGCGTGTTTTTCTAAAATTAGAACGAAATGCTGAAAGTAAAATAACACAACCTCATGGTAGTCAGGGTCGTGCCACGAATGGTGATTGTCTTTGTTACGACCGTAATGATCTTCATAAAATTTCTAGAATACTGTAATTATCTTCCGAAACTTTCCGTGAAACTTACTTCGGAACCTGATAATAAAGCATTTTCGTTACGAGTAAATAACAAGGTTAATTATTTTTAATAGATTTTTGTGCGCTTTAATTGAAGTTATCAAATAAAGTCAAGTCAATCAATATAGTTTATCTAGGCAAAATCAATCGATACCGACCATCAAACTGGTTCGAAAGAAAATCTTTATCATTATTCTAATTATTTCAAATATTACATAAATAATTATTAATTCTTTGACAAATTTTAAATTTAATAATTGTTGCTTAATGATTTATTTTATTGTAAGTTATGTAATTTTATTCATAATATTTCTTATAAAAGAGATGTGATTTCTATATATATAAACTTTTTATAAAGTGAGGAATCTTTTTTAAATTATACTGTTTTATCAAATATTTCATACAGATCTCTAAGAAACATCTTAAAGACGTCTGGCCGATATTCATAGTCGATTCTTATTTCAAGACCGTCTTAAGTAATGTCTTAAGACGCTAATGCAGCCTTCTGATTGGTTCGTGACTTCTTAAGACCGTACTTAAGACGTCTTGAATAAGATCGGACTACGAATACTGGCCTTTATGTCCTCTGAACATCCTAAGAACACATTTACAAGATATCACTTGGATAAAGTGTATTATGTAGGATAATAAGACAGAAAATGAAAAAAGAGATTTTTTATTGCGATATAAAGTTTTGATGTAGATATGAACATATATTTCATCGAGACAATGTATATTCACATTTGTATATTGGTCGGAATATCTCGCGTGCATTAATCGTATTTACATTGTATATATACACGTCTAATTCGATCGTCGCGCTTGTCACGATCTTGCATAGAGCAAGTATATTTTTCACTGATTAATAAATAAATAACTCTGGAAGCTACAACTTCTCATTGTAACACGTTCTAGAACTCACTGCTTTCATTTTTTTTTGTTTTTTACATCTGATATAATACGTAGCACGTGGCTTAAGTGATTATTCTATAAGTCGCGCATCGGTATTTGTGTCTTCTTACGAATCGTTTGACTCAATACATTAGAATATAATTGCCCGATTAGTTTTTCAAGCTAGATAAATATTTAAATTTTGGATATTTAGATTCAAAACACATTAAAAAAAAATAGTTTTTCAATTAAACCTAGAAGAAGGAAAAGTATTTACTTTATACGTGAACACTTTTCCTTCTTTTGGGAACTTTAAAATTAAAAAATACCGCATTCCTGGAAGTTAAGTTAAATCTAGCTTAAAGCTAAATGAGATAACGGTAAAACCGGTCATAAATCCTTGCAGCACTTGCACCGAAATGTTTCACGTCGTGTCACGGGGAAAGTCACACGAAAATTCTCAGACGTTAATCGGGCAAATCTCCTCCTTCAAAAGTGACAGCTTTCCGTGGAAATCTCTAGCGTCTCTACGATGTCCGTACGCGTGCACGCATCACGCATGCATGCACGCACTCGCGTCCGAGGATCGGAAATCGAGTGCGCTCACTCGCCTAGAATTAAGTAGGTACATACACACAGGAGTACATATATCTGCGTAGCCTAAGATATCTTCTGGCTGTCTGTGACGATGATTATTACGTAATGGCGTTAATCAGAGGTAGCGGCTGATCCTGAGTCCGAGTGGTGCAAATCCGACCGTGGAAGTCGGCTCATCGACGCTCGAGAAAATTAAAAGCCTGAAATTAAATCTCTGGCGACCTTGAGGACGTAATACTCACGCGTGTCCGGCGACACAGAGGCAAAGTTGTGCGTTCGATGCGTTCGCGAGATTGGCAATCGGCTGGCGCTGAACAATTCAATTGATCGAGATCTTGACATGGACTTTGAATGCAAACTTCGAGTGGTACGACAGGATATGAACAACTCGAACGTCACAGCAATTTCACTTTTTATTGGATGAATTATGAAAATCGCCTCTCGAGCTTTACTTTCGAAAATTCATAGTTTCGCTTTCTTGAGCGCGTTCGCGCATTTATTCTCTCTGGTACTAGTCTTGTTTTTCTTCGCTAATCCGAGATCTCTGTGACACTTGCTATGTGTCGCGAATTTGCCGGCATTGAAAACGTAGGCAATCATGACATATTAAATTTTCCCCTCGAGTTGATCGCGATCGCGGACCGCACATGCATGCAAATGACAAATAGAAAACATAGGTACCGTCCGTATCCGCCTGCGACGTTCGCGATATTATCCTGGAAAATTCTTCGCGATTTATCAACAAGTCGCCCGGCGACGTAATGAACATAAAGCTGGACGCTTGGAATTAATTTGCCTTTGCATCTTCCGGTTTTCGAGATGATGGGTACGTCGCCCAGATGTACAACACTATTCTGAGCACGCAACGGGCCGCTCGTTATCCAGCTAACTCAAGCGACGATCAGCCCTGAGGAGAGTAAACGACTAAGTCAATTCCGTGATTAATATCTGCAAATAAAGGTAATCGTTGGCAAATATTTTCCAGTTATATTTAGTCGCGAAAGCGTTTAAGAGCTCGATAAAAAGTTTACACATTTAAATGATACGCATGTTTCTCTTACCTAAGTTAGAAAATAATATATTACAGATGGATAACAAAAACGTAAATAGTTTCAAACGGAATTTCTCAAAGAACTTTCATATTTGCCTCATGGAACTTCTGGAATCTAGCAGGACCCGAAGTATCTCTTTTTACAACAGTCCGATGGGACTTAATTTTCAAAGTTTTCTTCTCCAGCTGCTACATCTGACAATGAGATGCACTGTTAAATTCATAATGTCAAATTATACCCAATTTGAGTTATTTTTAATCATTTCTATAAGTCGCTCCTACCCAATCTATCGTTAATTTAGCTAAAATAGGTTAAACAATTTAACTAAAAAAAATGTATGTTTAATTTGACTCTTTAGTTTATTGTTTATTAAGAGCATACGTTAATATAGACGATATTCACTTTGAAACTAACTACAGAAGTGAATTGATTTACATTTTGACATGGAAGTTAAAAATAACAAAACGTTATTTAACACAAAAGATTACCATTTCTTCTTTGATATCTAACAGTGTACGGGGCAATGTGTTCCTCGTTTTGAAAATATCTACATCCTAGCTGTGATATGTTAAAATCGGGAAGAGACGCAGATAGTCGCGACTAACGTTTCTTCGTCAGTCGTCACGGATTACTTACTCGTCCGATGAATCTAACTCGTTGGCGGAGCAGGCCAAGGCAGCGGTGCAGCCGCGGATGAACATCGGTTGGCGCGTGTGTATCGTCATGATAACGAGTTCTCAGGTGTTTACGACCACGCGACGTCATCGAACCCACCTTTACCTTTCCAGCCGTGTGCATTCTTATGCATGCGCGGCATGTTACGGTACGCCACGTTGTAGCTTCACTTCGGCGCTCCGCGCCTCGCAGCAACGTCGGGAATGAGGTAACTCCGAGTCGTTTCTACTAGTTTCCTGCATATTGGCCTGTTCTAATCGCAGGTAACCATGCTTTACACGTTACGTTCTGAAGATTCCCTCTCTATATCTGTAATTTATGCATACAATGCAAGGATAATTCTGAGACAAAAATAGTTTACATACGAATAGTATCTATAATGACTATATTCTTCATCTTTCTTTAAACGAAGTGTTTCTTTACAAAGATTATTGAAAATATAGTAATAATAACGTGAGTCATGATTTCATTAACATGTTAATATCGTTATTATCATATTATTATCGCTAAATACCGTAGAAAAATTATTTTAGCATTAATAAATAATTAATAGCATTAATAATACTGATGTTAATTTTTGTTTCTTTCTTATTTAAATTATTCTAACATAAGAATT